CTTTCTCCTGGTAAACACTTTCCCATCACACTCTCTCTCTCTCTCTCTCTCTCTCTTTATTTCTTTCTCTTTGTCACTCTTTTTTTTCTTACTCTCTCGCCTTACTTCTCTTTTCCCTTCTTCTTTTAGTTTCTAACAGTTCTTTGACTCTTTTGAGCATTACGTTTTGGGTCACCGCGAGACGTTCTGAAAAACACAGAACGTACCTCTACCTTCTCGACAATTCTATGAGAGGTAAAGCTTACTCTTTTCTTTTCTTTTCTTTTCTATTTTTCTCGCCTTCTACCAAATCTTTTTCCCTCTCACTCACTCTTACTCTTTTTCTTCTTGGTCTTTCCAAGTAATCTTCTAGGTTTCATGTCGTTGGTAGGTAGCTACGTAGGTAGCTAGRTAGGTAGGTACTTTGTTCTTAACTTTTCCAAGTTAAGTACTTTTCTTTTGTATTTGTAACGTACTTATTTCTTTTTATGAATTATATAATGACCTACCTTTTTTTTTTCTTTTCATTTCTTTTTGTATTATTCCTCAGCAATCCTTTTTTACTTACTTTTTTTCTATTATTCATTATTCATTATTATTATTATTATTTTGTTTTTTCGTTGAAAATGTTTTCTTCTAGAATCGTATTTACGTATTGTGATTATAGATCAAAAAAATAAGAAATCTTAAAAAGGGATTAAAAAGTTCAGTCTTTATATCTTTTTAAAACGAATCCACTTGGGAATTTCTTGAAGAATCAAACTCCTAGGAACGAATCGTCAAGTGGAAGAAATTAGGTGGTAAATACGGAATATTCTTGATCTCTTTCTTCATCCTATGTGTGTTTGTGTATTTATGTGTGAGAAAAAGAATGAGTGAGATAGAGATAGTCCAAGGTAAGAAACGATCGAATCGAATAGTGGAATTCGTGGAATCCGTAATCCGCCGCCAAGTGAATGGTGAACGTCTCTAAGAAGAGTCCCTATAGTAAAGAGCACCATCACCCCATCCCTTTACCTTTCTTCAACCCCTTTCCTACCTACCCCCTCTGATCTATCCTAACTGGGACTCGAGATTAAGGTGGTAATCGCTGAATTGGCAAAAGCTAGAGAGAGAGAGAGAGAGAGAGAGAGACAGGGGAAGAGTAGGTGGAGGAAGGGGTGGAAAGATAAAACGAGAAGAACCTTTGGGTGATCTTCATGAAACGGAAACTCACAAAGGATGAAAAAGTCAAAAGAGAGAGAGGTTATATATAGAACCGATTTGAAAATATTTATATTAAAAATCTCTCGCTTAGAATCCCTCTGTACGAAACAAAAACTAACCCCATTTTTTTCTTTTTTGAAATAAAGAAATAGTTTTTTTTTTTTATAAATATTTTGTTTATGTTTATTGGAAAGAAAAATGTCGTTTCGATTATCTTTTTTTTGTAATCTAACCCAAAAAAATAAATGTCAAAGAAATGGGCGCTGTAATTCGTTAGAAAATTTCGAAATATTTTTTCGTTCTTGTTTTTTTTTTTTTTATTACAAATATTTTTGTAATCTAACCTAAAAAATAAATGTCAAAGATACTACGCTGTAATTTGCTAGAAAATTTCAAATTATTTTTTAATTCTTTTTGTATTTTTTTTCTACTACAAATATTGTTTTGTAATTTAACCTAAAAAATGAACATCAAAGAAACTACGCTGTAATTTCGTTAGAAAATATTTCCAAATATTTTAAAATTCTTTTTGTATTTCTTTTCTACTATAAACATTTTGTTGTAATTTAACCTAAAAAATGAACATCAAAGAAACTACGCTGTAATTTCGTTAGAAAATATTTCCAAATATTTTAAAATTCTTTTTGTATTTCTTTTCTATTACAAACATTTTGTTGTAATCTAACCTAACAAATGAATGTCAAAGAAACTACACTGTAATTTGCTAGAAAATTTCAAATTATTTTTTAATTCTTTTTGTATTTTTTTTCTACTACAAATATTGTTATGTAATTTAACCTAAAAAAATGAATATCAAAGAAACTACGATGTAATTCATTAAAAAATTGTAAACTATATTTTAGTTTCTTTTTTCCTATTATACAAATATTTCATTTACGTGAAAGAAAAATATCGTTTCAATTATTTGTTTTTTTTTTGTTGTAATCTAACCTAAAAAATAAATGTCAAAGAGGAACAAAGGGTGACAGTGTAATTTTGTTAGGAAAATTTCAAACGTGAATAGTACGATGATCATTTTAAAAGTATCGACTAATGAATAATCGCGCCGAGATTTTTTGCTTGTTTTTTACGTAGAAAATAATTGCTACGTCAGAGTGAGTGAAATAGATAGATGGAAAAAAGAGAAAGAGAGACAATATGTCGGTATTCAACGGGGATGCAATATCGACAGGTAATTGGCCGGCGGCTTGTTCGACCGTTCTTCCTTTATTGCAATGGCGAAATTTTACTACTAGCGAATAATTGTTGGTACAACGTCAAATAATATTTATCTATCTTACGACGTGCAAATGCTGTGTGTGATTTCATCAAAAGAAATAATTAATTATTATGTTTATCATCAAATAACGTTCTTTGTAACCTTCTTAAAAATGTTAATACAAAAATATATAATCGTATTGTTCATTTAAATTTGGCGCCAATTTTCAAAGGGAAAATTTCAAAATTAACCTTCATCAATGTTTACGATGTAACATAAATTAAATGAAATTAAATTAAAATAAACAAAAACGAAATATATAAAAATCAATCAATCAAACAATCTCCAATATTTCATAACCTTAAAAACAAAAACAAAAAATACAAGAACATAAAAAGCGTATGTCAAAAATAAGAGGTGTAGGAAGTGATACGTACTTAGATGATAAGTATGATGCTTATGATAAAGAGAAAGAAGAACTAGAGTAGATATAAACGGGGTTGAGGGGCCTGGTACTGGGGGGGGGTGGGATGGTGAGAATAGATGAGGATGAAAGAGGTGGTGATAGTGGTGGTGGGATATAAAGTGGTGGGGGTTGGAAAGGATCTATAGTAGTGGTGGTAGTGGTGGTGGTGGTGGTGGTGGTACGTGGTACGTGGAGTAAGTGCAATAATACCAGATTATTTGCATCGCAAAGCCGTGCGTATGGGTAAACACAATATTCGCTCTCGGGCTCGGGTCTGTGAACCGATGATAGCAACGTGCACCCAGGTAGATTCGTATCCGTCTATCTCTCTGTTTCTGTCATACCAACCATCCCTTTCTATTCTCGTTCTATCATCGTTTTGTCGGTCTATCTATCTCTTCCACTCACTCACTCCCTCACTCACTCACTATTTCTATTTCACTTTATCTCGTTCATTCGCTCACACGATACAAGCCATTTCTCTATTTCTCTCTCACTTTAACTCACACATTCTATCTCACTCGCTCTTATTCTCTGTGTACAGCCACGGCATAATACAGATTCTATTTGAGCTGCCTCAGGGAAGTTAACTTGTGATGCGTGCACACTGCGCTTCTCTCTTCTCTATGTTGGCGATTCTCTACGGGGATCGAACCCCGTCGTCGTTCTCCATTTCGTTGATGAAAACCAGAAGAAACATAAGTACTATTCTAACAGCAAATTGTTTGTTATATACAGAATGATCTGTAACTGGTGGTACAAGCGAAAAGAGGGTGATTCCACATGAAAAAATACATCGAAAATATGCAATAAAATTTTGTCGTTTGAGGCTTTGTTCTTCTCACTTGTACCACCTTGTACCACCAGTTACAGATCACCCTGTATATGTCTAATACGACCATCAAAGGAAAATCACTACTATATTATCTACTACTATCTTCTAACATTTCAAATCATAGATCTATTTATTGTTGATGATGTTTATTGATTCCTGTTAACCCTTTTTCAGTTGGCTTAGGTAACAGGACGAGTATCTTACATGGTACAATAATCTTACATAGAAAAATCTGGCAAACAGAAGCTAAGGAACCCTTAAGTACCAATAGTTCATTCCTTTCAGTTGGAATTAACGAAATGTAGCATAAACATCCAGTGTCGCCTCTCACTCGCCATTCATTTTGTTAAGAAAAACGTCGTGGCGATCTAGAATCTCTCATTTGCAAAAGGTTAACCTATTAGGCACTACGCGCCATTATAGTGGCTTTCACGAATGCCATCTTTGAGTATGACGCGTCACTATTGTGGATTTCGCGAATGCCATCTTTCAGTACGACGCGTCACTATTGTGGATTTTGCAGATGCCATCTTTCAGCATGACGCGCCACTATAGTGGTTAACATAAAATATATTATATCTATAATTGTATTAAAGTTAAAGTATATGGTGTATCATGTTTTGAAGAGAATAATTATAATTTAATCATCAAAAATTTCATTGAAACTTCATTAAACTCTGCTGTACAAAGAAACAAACCCCTGTAACAATCCTCAGTGCCTAAGAGGTTAATTACAGTTTACAGTTTCTTATGGTGTTATTAAATATATATCTATGGATAGATGATATAAAACAAATGAATCAACATAATTTCCGATTGTAATAACTAAAGAGAAAACTAAAATATATATATATAAAAAGAAAAACAATGTGTAGATAAAATAGCGTAAGAATTTGAAGACTTTGAGAAAAGTGTCCCTTTTATCTGTACCGCTATTTTGCTAACTCCAACGTGGACCCTCGGGCGGGTTTTCTCCTCTCACGGAAGAGAAGCACACACAGCATCAGTAGCAGTAGCAGTAACAGTAGCAACATCCCTTTTACGTACCCTCCTCCTAACCCTCTTCCTCCTACCCCGTTCCTCGTCCACCCCTACCCCCTAGAACGCGTTGCAAAGCGGCGCAGAAACGAAAAGGGGCTTCTTCTCGGCGTGATACGAAGTGAGGGCGAAAAACGAACGACTCGTGGCGGGGTGTTAGCTGCTAGCTGCTAGCAGTAGCAGCAGCAGCAGCAGCAGCATCCCTCTCGAATGGGGGTGGGTGGGGTGGCCTTTCGTCGATGTTGGCGAAAGGAGAGAGGGTGCACTGTCCCCGTGCAAAAGGATTCTAGCAAAAGCGTGGGGGTAGTTACGCCCGCCCATTGGTCCGCCCACGGTCCGACCAAACCAGAGTCACTTGGAATCAATCCGTGGTACGATTTCACCCTGTTCTAGACGAAAATTCGTTGTTTCTAAAAGCTCGACGGAATACGCGATATTATTTTTCATTCGACTATTCATTTTTCCAACGATAATAATTTATATTTGAAACAATCTTATGTAAAAATCATAAAGATCAAGACAAAAAATAGGGGGACGAAATTATTGGGCAATTTTTTTTTTCATATATTTATTCATAACTTTTCTTTCTTTTAGCTTTCCAAGATCTTTTGATCACGTTAGTTAATTTAATTTGATTTGTTGTTGTTGTTGTTATTGTTTATTTGTTCTATTGTCTTTTCTTCAATTGGGAAATGGTTTGAGTCAACCCCCAATCAACGTTGAATTTTTGGGGGTATTTTAATTACGAAAGTTAGTTTTGTGTTATCAAAGTACTCACGACAGATAACCATGAACCTTAAATCATGGACATCCGTTCGAAAGGTTACGTTCTATTAATAATAGAAAGAAAAACATCCTTGACGCGGTGTTCTTAACGTTCAACATACGTGGTACACGTTAGAATTGACAAATACGAAGAAAAAGAAACAAAGAAGAAAAAGACAAGAATAATAAGAATAAGAAGAAAGAAGAAAGAAGAAGGAAGACAATAAAAAGAAAAAAAAAAAAAAGGTGCGTTATCGTTGTGGAAACAAACTATTAGCGTAAGATAGCGTTATTCCTCCGAGTAAAGTCAAAGAGGTATAATTGTACTCTCTACAATCTCGCGTGTGACAGTTCGCAACAGTTAAAACATGTCGGACGCGGGATTTCAACGAGTAATCATCTACGACGCGGGTGTTTATTTCAACGTTTACTTTTGAAAACAAAGTTTCGACCCAATAAACAAAACAAAAACAACAATAAAATAAGAAGATCATCAGTGTGCTATTAATTTACAAAACCAACACTAAACACGTTCTCTGAACCGCTGTGGTGGGAGGGGTGGGTAGGGATTGAGGATTGTCAGATTTGGTTATTGTTTTATTTTCTTTCTTTTACGAAGGGCCCCCTCCAGGGTTGTGGGATTGTTTTGAACGAAGAAGAAATGTAATGAACAACGAACATGAGTGTTTTGATGGTTCTCAAATAAGTGGTGGATCTAAAGTGTGATTTGTAAGTTCTGATGACAAAAGTTCGTAGGAATAAAAACTCATGGAAGCGCATTGTGCGATGATGATGTCGAATCTGTCGTGCGACGGTTGCGCCGACAGCAGCAGCCGTGATTCCGACAGCAGTAGCATGATCGTCGACCCGGTGAGTCTCGATAAGAATGACATGTCACCGCCACAATCATCATCGTCACCGATAATATCAAGTTCACCGGTTCCAGCGGTGACGGCATCTACGACGACGACGAATACGTTGAGATGTCGGAGTGGTGGTGGTGGTGGTGGTGGTGGTGGAGGTTCTAGAATGACGAAAAAAATGCCATACTCAAGGATGCCGGTAACGTCAGTGGCGTTGTCGTCCAAGTCAACGAGTCAACAAAAATCAACGGCGGGTGGTGGACAACAATCTTCAGGTTATGGGAATGAAAAAATGTCGTCATCGTCATTGATAAAACCACCATATTCTTACATAGCACTGATAACCATGGCAATATTACAATCCCCGCAAAAGAAATTAACGTTGAGTGGTATATGCGAATTCATAATGTCACGATTCCCATATTATCACGACAAATTTCCAGCATGGCAAAATTCAATAAGGCATAATTTATCATTGAACGATTGTTTCATCAAGATACCCAGAGAACCTGGTAATCCAGGTAAAGGTAATTATTGGACATTGGATCCACTTGCTGAAGACATGTTTGACAATGGTAGCTTTTTACGACGTAGAAAGAGATACAAAAGGCCACCACCACATTACGTGTTACGCGACAGAGCTATCATGGCAACATTTGCCATTTGCGGTGATCGTGGACCATGTCCAGGTGGTGGTGCTGGACATCCAGGTACATTGGCTTATCCCGGTGCAGCTTATCTTTCACCACCACCTGGATTACCCTTATTGGACTTTTCACCGTCAACGTTGGAAGCTTTGAAATTAGGTGCATTCCTCGAACCACCAGCACCACTTTACAAACCGGTACCGATCACTGCACCACCGATCAGACAACTCGAACCAACACCAACCAGGACAACTACGACGATACCAATGATCAACGCACAAACTACGAGTATCGAAAAGAAGAGAAACTTTAGTATCGATGCTCTGATCGGCAAACAAACCGTCAACGATCAAAATTGCGCTGGTCTTCTTGATCTTAGTCCGTCGGAACACAGAGAAATTAGAAGTCAAGCTTCTGCGTTTTCACCTCTCGTTTAGAGAGTCAAACTGTGGGGAAAAGTCAAAACTAATTTTAGCACGCATACACACATACACACACACGTACACAAAAAAGTAATGTTCGATTTTTTGTGCGGTAAATTTTTATCCTTCGATATCGATCGATCGATAGCGATTCCTTCGTCCAAGTCGTCCGATCCAACCGATTGTAATTTCATGGTTAATCACAGATTATGGAAAAAAAAAAACAAACAAAAAAATCCTAACCCCGTGTCGCGTAATTATTGTAAATTGGATTATAGTAATCCAGAACTGTATATCGTTAGAATGAAAGACAATTTTTTCGACGAATGGAGTCGCATATATATATATTTCATTTAAATAAATAAATAAATGGACTAATCAACGATCGGTCACATTCCTATATTTAATTATAGTGACTCCTTTATCAAAGTGGCTTCGTTTCGTCGATTTTTAATAAAATGAAATAAAAATTTTCTTAGAAATTAAGCTCATCATCATCATCATCGTCATCGTCATCGTCATCGTCGTTGTCGTCGTCATAGTCGTCCAAGTGTAATAATAATGGTGATTTTTATTTTCTAACGGGACGATTCTAACCTCCCATCGAAAGATAAATGCGACAAATAAAAATAGAAATATTTTCTATGAACTCGATCGTGATCTATCTATATCTCCTTCAATTCATAATAATAATAATAATAATGATAATAATAATGATAAAAATAATAATAGCAGGTTTGATAATGCTATTAAAAAATTGCAATCATTTTTTGACGATTAATGTACGATGATCGTTGTCACAGAAATAAAACAACAAAATCAGAACAATTCATGTTCGTTATCAATCGACTATTAATTTATTTAATTTAATTTAATTAAATAATTATAATTTATTTAATAATAATAATTTTATTAATTTATACTTCGTAATTTAACTTTCGATGTGATTCGAATCGTTTACAAATTGGATTGGCAACTAAATCATTGCTGATTATAAGAAACCACCTATCGACAAAATCCGCAATTATTTACTTTCCAACTCAATATAATAGATAGATGTGTTTTTTATTTATATAATTTATATAAATTAAGTTAAATAATATATCTGAGAAATGAAGCTTTATTTTTTTTTTTAATTACGAGCGCGACAAACAAATCGAAGAATTAAAAACAAAAACAAAAAAAAAAGAAATCAAAAGAGTGCAAAGTTAAAACTATAGTAGATAGGTTATATTTAAAAATGGCGCAGTGCAATAGTATAATTATTATTATTATATATATAAAACAAAAAAAAGAAAAATACTAAACACGAGATTATTATTATTATTCATTTCTATATTATTAGATAAATTAAAACTCTCTAAATAATAATAAATAATAAAAACAAAAAAAGAAAAACAAAAAAAAAAAAGAATTTTTCTACCATTTCTAAAAATTATTAACAAATATCATTTTAATTGTCGCGCAAAAAAAAATTGTTTTTCGTCGTTCGTTTGACTTTAGAGTTAATCATCATCATCATCGTCATCATCATCATCATCATTGATATCTTCAAAATGGCCACTGGCCATCCACTATGACGGTCCGTTTGCGTTCGGTCGATTAATAACGGCATTGTAAATACGAGCCCCGAACAAATATGTGCGTAGCACTCTTATTATTCCTGAAACGTGAGGAGTGGGGGCAAACAGGGGGTGGGTTATAAAAGGGGAGGGGAAGGGGTAATCTTTTTTCTTCGTCAAATTTTAAATGTAAAGACACACGCTACTCGAAATTGACCAATCATGTTGGGTCAAGTATTTTTAAGTATATTATTATTATTATTATTATTATTATTATTATTATTATTATTTAGTTGTATATATTGCGATATGTGTAGTATTTAAAAAAAAACAACAACAACTAAAATTACATTTATTAAAAAAATAAATAAATATATATATATATATATATATAGAACAATTATTTATTTCGTATAAAAAATTTTAATTGTTTATAACACAAGTGTAAAAAATTATTATTATTTTTTTTTTTTATTACGAAATTTGACGAATCTTTTCTTGTTCTTATTTTTTTCCCTTTTGTTTTTTTTTTTTTAGGATTGTTTTAAGGAAATAAATTAATTAAATTATTTAATAAGACAATTAATTAATTAATAATTATTAAATTAATTAATAAATAAAAAAACAGGGAATTAATATATATTAGTATTAATATATATTAATATAATAAACAAAAAAAAATAAATAAATAAATATCACAGAAAATTAAAGAACGTTGAAAATTAAAATGAAAAAATATGCAATTGGACAATTTTTCTTTTGCTTTATTATTGTTTCAAAAGTATGTAATTTGTTTTTTTTTTTTAATTTTTTTCTCAGTCAGCTCTTTAACTTTTTCATTTTTTTTTCTTTTTTTTTTCTTTTTCTTCTTTTTCTTCTTCTACTTTTGCTGTTTCTTTTCTTTTTCAAACAAACTTGACGGTAAAAGTTCAGTCAAAGTTTTGTGAACGCAATTTCGTACAAACGTAATCAAAT